ACTGTCATTGCAGGGTTCCAGGTTTATTGCATCTCACTGATTTTCAATGCAATTTTGCTAAGTTTATACATAAAGATATTTTTCCTAACTGTCATAAACTCAATCTGGAGTCTGAGAGTCTGCATGTTTTTTTTTCCATTTTGTAGTTCATTAACCCCAGTAACAAAGATTCAACAAGCCAAATTAATTCCTCAGTTAAAAGAGTGCAGCCACATTGAGGACTTAATTTGCAGACAATGCGTCTGTACAAGTGCAATTCCGGCTTTAATTTGGAAACTTTTGCTTGTATATAACTTTAAATTAAGCTATTGTTGACACTTCTGCATTAGTTTTCATTGGGGTTTCTCAAGTCAGTAAGATCACACCCCATAATGTTGGAAGCCCAGCTTCCTCGCAATAATCAACATAGCAGAGGAAGTGGGGGGAAAAATCAAAGAAGCAGCATCCAAACAGCTATAGCAGTTGCTGCCCCCTTATTTTACTGATCCTGGGTCACCTACCTAATAAAAAGGGATTTAAAAATTTAGCAGTGATTTTACTGTAATCACAGAACCTGTATAAACAGGGATGTTGATATGTTTATCCAATTAACCGATAAACCTAAGCTTCTTGGTTAATCTTGTTAACTACATTAATGCATTCCCACCCCGCTTGCTGTCTCTGTATCAGAGGCAGCAAAGTGGAGGGAGCTGGAGCTGGAGGCAGCCGGCTTAAAAGCCGGCTCCCCTCAGCACCAGCTCCATGGTGCCACCTGGCCCTCCCCCCAGCACTGCTGCCTCTTATCAGAGGCAGCTGCAGGGGGGAGCGGGGGAAGCTGCCTTGAAGCAGCCTCTCTCCATGGCAGGCCCAAGCTCCCTGTGGGCAGAGGCTGCTCCGGCAGCAGCCCCTGTCTAGGGGGTCCAAGCACCTCACAGACTGAGATCAACCTCAGTTCACAGGGAGCTTGGATCCCTTGCGGACAGGGGCTGCTGCTGAAACAGCCTCTGTCCACTGCCAATCAGGACTGCCGTGGGCAGAGGCTGCTTCGCGGCAGCCTCTGTCTGTGGAGAGCTCAGACCCTTTGTGGACAGGGACTGCTGCCTCTGTACAGGCAGTCCCCGAGTTACGTACAAGATAGGGACTATAGGTTTGTTCTTAAGTTGAATTTGTATGTACGTCGGAACTGGCTCCAGATTCAGCCGCTGCTGCTGAAACTGACCAGGGGCTGACTACAGGAAGCTGGAGACAGAATTGCTCTGCCCCCAGCTTCCTGGAATCAGCCACTGATCAGTTTCAACAGCAGCTGATTCTCGAGCCTGGGACAGAACAGCTGGGCTGCCAGGTAGGTCCCTGCAGGACCAACCTGGCAGCACCCCAGCTGCTCTACCCCAGGCGTTGGCGAGAAAAGCCTGGTCTGCTGGGGGGGGGGGGGGGGCGCACTGGCTGTGCCCCCCCCCCAGCAGACCAGGCTTTTCTCGCCAACGCCTGGGGTAGAGCAGCTGGGGTGCTGCCAGGTTGGTCCTGCAGGGACCTACCTGGCAGCCCAGCTGTTCTGTCCCAGGCTCGAGAATCAGCTGCTGTTGAAACTGATCAGTGGCTGATTCCAGGAAGCTGGGGGCAGAGCAATTCTGTCTCCAGCTTCCTGTAGTCAGCCCCTGGTCAGTTTCAGCAGCAGCGGCTGAATCTGGAGCCAGTTCCGACGTACATACAAATTCAACTTAAGAACAAACCTATAGTCCCTATCTTGTACGTACCTCGGGGACTGCCTGTATAAGAAACAGCAGCACAGAGAGGCAGGCAGCTGGTCTGCATGGGGAACTGGTTTTTAAACTGGATCCCCTTGTGGACTGGCTCCTGCCACCCTTTGCTGCTGTCTTTGATACAGAGTCAGTAGTGCGGGGTGGCAAGGGGCTCCCCAGGAGTGGGACCAGGAGCACTCTGGCTTCCTGCCCTGCCCCCAGAGACTCTAGAATAATCAGGTAACTAATAGGAATTCACGTGGTTACTCAACGGGTGCATCTAGACTGGCAAGATTTTGCACAAAAACTTGCCAGCTGTCTACACCGGTTGCTTGAATTTGCATAAGAGCACTGATGTTCTAATGTAAGAATTCAGTGCTTCTTGCACAAATACTTTGACGCTCCCACTCAGGGATAAGCCCTCTTGCACAAGAATACTTGCGCAAGAGGGCCGGTATAGACAGGCACCTTAATTTTTTGCGCAAGAAAGCCTGATGGCTAAAACGGCCATCGGAGCTTTCTTGCGCAAAAGTGCCTCTAGATTGGCACGGATGCTGTTGCGCAAAAGCATCCTTGCCAATCTAGATGCTCTTTGCAGAAATACTTTTAAAAGTATTAAAAGTTAAAAGTATTTCCGCAAAATCATGGCAGTCTAGACACAGCCAACTATTCAATTAACCGATATCTAATATCCTTAGAATACACTAAAGTTTTTTTTAAAGTCTTTTTTTAAACCACCATTGCATCTCATAGACTCATAGGCTGCGTCTAGACTGGCAAGTTTTTCCGCAAAAGCAGCTGCTTTTGTGGAAAAACTTGCCAGCTGTCTACACCGGCCGCTTGAATTTCCACAAGAACACTGACGATCTCATGTAAGATTGTCAGTGTTCTTGCGGAAATACTATGCTGCTTCCGTTCGGGCAAAAGCCCTCTTGCGCAAATGCTTTTGCGCAAGAGGGCCAGTGTAGACAATGTGGTAATGTTTTGCGCAAAAAAGTCCCGATCGCAAGAACGGCAGTTGGGGCTTTCTTGCGCAAAACTGCGTATAGATTGGCATGGATGCTTTTCTGCAAAAAGTGCTTTTAACAGAAAAACTTTTCAGTTAAAAGCATTTGCGGAAAATCATGCCAGTCTAGATATAGCCATAGACTTTAAGGTCAGAAGAGACCATTATGATCATCTAGTCTGACCCTCTGCACAATACAGGGCCACAGAATGCGGGCCACAGAATTTCACCCACCCACTCCTGGAATAATTCTCTCACCTACATCTCAGATATTGAAGTCCTCTCCCCCTCTCTATATGTTTTTGTTGTTGTTTGTTTTGCTTTGTTTATTAAAATTTACCATATGATGCACATCCCCTTTGTGTAAATGTAAATGGCAGGATGGTAAAAATACTGTCACTTGTCTGCACTAGCCTGCCAATGTACAGTGCAACTGTCAAAGAACTGCAAAAGGGACTGCTACAGATACAACCATGGGATTACGGATGCTTCCCCAGGTCTGAAACTGGACCGGACACTGACAACAGTTTGCTTGAGTTTCAGGATTTATTCAATCACAATTAATAGTAAAAGATTGAACTCACTTCATTCTGCACTACAAACAGCTCATTAATTATCTACTGTAATAAAATTAGACAAACTGGATCAAGCGAATAATTATATTGTCCCGTAGGTAGGTGGCGCCTGGGTAAGGGATATCAGAAACTCGAACTTTTAGTTCAGGGACTGCCCTTGTTCCCATTAAAGTCAGTGGGCACTTTACTATTCATTTCAGTAAGAACAGAGCTAGGAAGAGAAGGTAAAATACTAATTTGCTCTGCCAGAGTGACTTGCAGAAGTAAAAGACAGGACTATGCAGCACTTTAAAGATTAACAAGATGATTTATTAGGTGATGAGCTTTAGTGGGCCAGACCCACTTTCTCAGATCAAATTGTGGAAGAAAATTGGCATGACCATATATACCAAAGGGATGCACTCAATAAAAAGTGAACACATATAAAATTGACAAATCAGATTTTAGAACAGAGGGGGGAGGGGGAAGGTTAGTGTCTATGAGATAATATTAGGGGTGATAATTGGGGAAACTGTCTTTGTAATGGGTAAGGTAGTTAGCATCTTTGTTAAGACACATTGGTAAAGTGTCAAATTTAAGCATGAATGACAGTTCCGAGGTTTCCCTTTGTAGTCTGGTGTTAAAGTCCAGACTAACACGGCTACATCTCTATTACTAGCAGAAGTAAAGGCTTCCTTCCATTGCTGGGATTTAAGTAGGTGCAGGGGTCCTACATTGCTACCCGGGCATGTTCTGTAGTGGAAGGATTTTGGAAACTTCTTTTTTAAATGTGGTTTAATTGAATTCGTTGTAAAGAGCATTCAATGTGGTTATCAATTTAAAAATCCACCCTAGTAAAAACAAAGGTATTAGTTCTCAGGAGCAGACGCCAGAGCTAGGGGGAACGTGCCCCGTTGATACTAATGACTGAAGATTTTTTTTTACCCAACGTTAGCAAGGGCCGTGTGGTGCACAGGGCTTTCCTCCGCAGGTAATCGTTGAAAAACGGCTCACCCCGTTGAGAAAGAGCAGCTGCCTGGCTTCAGAGGCACCGTGTAAAAGTAGGGTAAGCAGCTCCCCAGGCACGGCGGCGCG